CACACTGGAGAACGAGCCAGTGGATTGGACAGAAGAGACACAACACTCCCTCAGCATCAGGCTGAATGAAAGGAGATTCTGTCTTTCCACATCTGCTTAACGGCACTTCGCTTCGCTGTGGACAGCCCGACTGGACTGGAGAGCTGGGCAAAACTGGATGCCACACGGTATCTTGGCAATTCCAAGGGATAGGTGATGAAACGTACAAGAAAGTGAGGACAATGAAACAGCAATTAAACAGTTGAAAATCTGCTTAATTAATTTTAATTCTTAATTACTCCTAGCCAGCGGTTTTAAAAATATAATGGTTGTGCAAGTCCTTAATTCGTTTTTTTTTTGTAAGAAAAAAGGTTGGTGTTATCTTTGTTCTGTGCAATTCCACCTTTTCAATAGTCTGTGCCAATTTTCTTTGACTCACCAAACAACAATGTATGAACATGTTTTCCAGAGTGAATTATTTTCAACAAAGACAGGTTCGAACACCTGCAGCATCAGACAGCCTGGCAGCGAGGCCATGTAGCAACTCTGTGAGGGTGCCTCTGGGCACAGGAGAGAGGTTCAAGTCCCGCGCAAAGTGTTCAAGACCAAAACGACAACAACGAGGGTTTTCTGCAATTAGGCTGTCAGAAATGTAAAAATCCTTGTTCTTGTGCCTTAATGGTCACCACATTTGAACACACCGATGGGCCCTGTGTCCTAAAGGGCAACACTGGCTACTTCATTAGCTTGGCTGGCCTACTGCAGGTTTTACCTTAATCACAGACATCAAACCCCAGTAGGACAGCCTGCAGGTGCTGCTTTGGAGCTGGTACCTGTGCCAGCCTCGACAGGTGCCCAAGCTGCCACAGCGCCTCACAGACTCCCTGTTCCTCTGGGACATCAGCCAAGACACCCTCTGTACTCCAACCCCGGCGATCTCTCAAGTCAAGCTCCCACCCTGGAACTACGATCCCCCCCCGGACATACCAAGAGGGGCAATAGAGCTTCCGATTCTCACAGCTGTGTCTTTCTAGGATAATGAGCCGAGAAAATCACAAGATCTCAGTGAGAAGCACAATGGCTGACACCCAGAACCGTGAACCATTAACTGGCCCCCTGAACCACTTCTCCTGTGGCGTGATGTAGGGTGCACGTTTTTCGTAGTTTGGGCTATATTAAGTTATTAATTTGAGAGACCAAGATTGGAACAGATATGGGGGGGGCAGATGACAAGATAAGTAACGATTTCCGATTTCTTAGATGAAAATAACCATCTGGAAAACGTCAGCAGTCCCAGTCGCCTGCTGTGCCAGCAGGGGATCTGCGTGCAGAGGGGCACGTGCGCAGCTCTCCCATAACCAGGCTCCGCCGGCTGCATTCTCACAAGCACGGGCTGGCTTTCATGCACGTCTTCTTCCATATCTGCTAGGGTCTCGGGTTCGATTCCCAGGGTGCCGTCTGTGTGGGGTTCGCATGTTCTCCCCTGGTTTACATGGTTGTCCTCCGGGTGAAACGGCCTCTGGGGAAACTGGCCCTGATGCGAGCGTGTGTGTTTGTGGCCCTGCGTGCCCTGTGACGAACTGGCATCCAGCCCAGGGTGTATCCTGCCTGGTGCTCCTGAATTAGAAGAAGCAGTTGAAAAATGGATATACACAACCCTGGCTGAAATGTTGACATTGCCCAGTTTTAAGCTGCCTTTGACAGAATGTTATTCGGATAGAACCTCTAATCTCTGATCCCAGATCAGACCTTTCAAAACAAGGTCTGGCCCTCCTCAGCTCTGGAGCAGCACGCTATTGTTATGATTTCTACATGGCTCCTACTTCCTCTCGTCTATTGTTTCTCTCCCCATAGCCAGTAAGCCGGGGGTGCGATTCTCATCCGTGTCCAGAGCAGCGCGCGCGTTTGGGCTTGAGGTCACAGCCGGAGAATGGCTGGAATGTGCCGTGTCAGTCGGCATCCAAAATAACCACCCAGCCAGGCCCCAATATCACTGCATTTTCTCACAAAACATTTTCACCCATCTGGAGAGCTGCTGTCGAAATGGAAAAACGACTCAAAGAATCTATAACACCGAACTTGTAAACCCTGCGCGTCAGTATAATCCAGGACCCTTAGATCATCCCAGTAAAGCGAGACCTGTGCTAGATCCAAATGCACAGGCCTTTCCTGGCCCGAAGATATTAGATTCTTGAACCTTTTAACACACATCTGGTTTTTAAATCACGTGACTTACTCGAGATGAAAGCAGGAAAAATATTTTAAAGCTTTTGTTTGGAGAAGGCTCTCCAGCCTCTCTCTGCAAGTCTATTACAACACAAAGACCTGCCCGACAGCTGCAGTCTGCTGCTCCCTGGCTCCTGCAATTAACAGGCGTGATCAATAAGCGAGAACAAAATGCTGAATTTAATTGAGAAACCAGAAGCACGGGGTCAGTCGTCAGGGCTCCACTGAGTTCTCCTCGAAGATGGCGATGTGGGGGACGACAAAGGCAGAGCCACATCTGAGAGGACGGGGGTCAGGGTGGGTCTGTGCTGTTGTCTTGAGGCCGACTGGGAGAGCGCGAGGAGCCCCAGGAAGAAACTGGGAGATCCTTCCAGTCCGGAGACAATCAAACACGTTCCGCACGGATCACCGAGCCACGGACAGTCCAGGAAACGAAAAAAAAAGCGAACGTCTACTCTAACATCCTGCA